CCCTTGAGAGGAACAAGTGGACGCCGATGCCCTTGTAAGGGGACGATGTTTATTTGCCGACGAAGAGACCCTGGTTCCCTTAATCCGGAATTACATCATAACGACAGCGAACATCGATATTATTCGATTACACAAATATCTGAGGCTTTCTGAAACCCGAGGAGGGCACCACAAGAGAGAATAGTGTGAGGACATTTTGGGTCCGAACAGTGGCGACCGGTCAAAAATCAATGCCCAAGCTGCGCATCCCAACTAAAAACGCACCACTCAGGAGAGGAATAACAGGAGAGTCAACCTGTTGAACGCCTACTGTCTGTGCTCTAGACACCGCCCAAGCATCACCGTTATCATTGACGCTGATGGCGGTACAGCTAATACAGCTAAGGTACAGCTAATGCCATCCATCCATTCGAAATGGAGATGATGCTTATGCCTGTGTGGCTTCGGTCCATATCCTTGAGGTTTTACGACATAACTCGCACAATGTGGAAATACCTTTACTATTCTACCTAAAACGTATCTACGATTGGTGTGTTACTGCATTTTATGTTTTACTCGATGTGTAAACATTCGCAACGTCCAATTTACTTTTTGCTTACATCATGTTTGTTTTTTTTTTTGTCCACTTTTAGTCTTAGGTCGTCTCAGATCGGCATGACACTCGTGGCTGTTTTCGCAACCACCAACGCGTCCGATGGCGGAGTTGTATTGACGCATGACTCCATGAAGCCAATGTACGGAGAACGAGCGACGAATTTCTCCCGGCGACGTTTGCTCAGTGTGCGGCCATACCCTCCGGGCGGTTTGGTGTGACATTTTGCGCCATCTAGCTCAAAATATTTGCAACAGTGAGAAGGCCTTTTCACCAGCCTGCTTGCTCGTGGGGCTGTTCACGCATCAATTTGAAGGTGATAAATCATGCGTGTTTTTTTTTTTTTTTTTTTCTTAACATTGCTGTCGCATCTCGCAGAAGAGCAAACGCCGAAGCTCTAGGCGCTGTTGCGTACCGGACTGCCGCAACCCTGGAAGCTTAGCAGACGTGAAGCTCCGCAGGTTTCCGTCGAAACCGTGGAAAATACAACGACGTCGGACATTAATAAATACCATAAAGCGAGTAAAATAAGCATTCCGTTCGCATTGCCTAACTTGAGATGCATTTCTAAATGCGCTATTTGACTCGATGTTTGGAATTAATGCGCTCGAAGTCCGGCGTTTTGTCTTTGAATTCGATGCGATGAGTACAATCAGATCAGTCCTTTGACACTCTCATTACTCTCTGCTCCGCTGAGATATCTTGATCGGACGACGTTTTGGGGGCGTTGGATCGTAGTTACCGAAAACTGATGTGAGCGTTTTCTCCGCTTCGCCGATTGCAGAACGAACTGTCGTTTGCGCCTTTAGCAAGCATGATTGCGTAGCTGCCTAAGATGGTTGCTCTATTTCGACCCGTGTCTACGCGGTCCTAACTTCATCCCTGCTGCGAGAAAAGTCTACCCAAGAAACAATTTAAAAAAATGTATTTACCCCACGAGAAGAGGTTATCCATGCGGCGTTTATTTCAGTTCTATGTAAAAGTGAACAGCATATTAAATCGACGAGAACGAGCATCAGCTTGGGACGAGCAACTGCGTACGACACCGTCCAAACCAGAGCCAGCTTGCACGACAAACACATTCCTCGGACACCACAATCGCCTTCAACACGGCGGCGAGGGGACTGGAAACTAGGGAGCCTTCATGTGCGCTTTGCTAGGGTGATGCCACCCTTTGTAATACCACTCGCCGACAAACCAGCAGCCATTTTGGTTCTCGGCGATAATCCGTGGGGCTTATAACCCTCCCGGAAACAAGCACCTTATCTCACAAGTTCGGAGCAGCGTTGTGGAACCCACGGAGGGAGGATTAGCATTTCCCCCTCGGATGGACAGAAAGGCCACTTTCCGGCGCACGGGGAAACAATGAGAGGAACAAAATGGCGGTGGAAGAGGGTGTGGGAAAGGGAAACAGGCAGTTGGCATCACTCTATGCGAGGCGCACATGAAGGCATTCTACTGGAAACAAGCTGATCACGAAAATGAGGTCAGCTATTCATGCGGAAAGAGTTCACTTGGAAAAAAAGGGTGGGTAGGGATGAGAAGGAGGGGGCGGGGGGGGGGGGGGGGGGGCGTTTTTAGTTCCGCTTTCGCAGTGCGCTTTTGTAGAGGAGGGGAGCGCGACGAAGTCTTTGCTTTTGTTAACTTAAAACGCGCGCAAACAACGTAAAAAAATTTTCCTTGTTTATTTGCTTTAACTTATATTTGGCCGTAATATTATGACATTCAATTTTGTTCTGCTAGCTCCCGTTTCGGATTGTCTCTACCTATCGAGGAAGGCACCCACTAAAACTCCCTAATGCTAGAATGACACAACCGCACACGGGTGCACATGTATATATTTAAAGTTTGATAGATTCTTAAAACAGTCGGTAGTGTAACGCGCGACAACACAACGCTCGGAGTTGGTAATAAGGTAATCTCGCAAGGGTATAGCCTCATTTGGCCACGGTGGCGCTGATGACCAACCGACGGTGGCGCTCTCTGGAACCCTGCCCAGAGCCTATAGCCTTCTCTATACTAACAAAGCGGCAGTTCGACGACGGAGCCATAGAGTGCCCGGTCGCAGATTTAGAGCGCGAGGATCTGGTAGCACAAAGCATCAAAGAGCCGTTTTCGGGGAAGCTGAACGTCCGCGCATAGCTTTTGCAGCGGCGAGGACCCAAAACACACTTGTTCGCTCGGGGGAAGTGTGTTTCGGCGTCTCGTCGCAGCGGGGCGCAAGTCACGTTTTTTTCTCCTCTCATCCGTTGTCTGCCGCTCCAACTTGTCCATTTCGGCGGCCGCTTCTCGTCGCGATCTGCCTGACTTTGTCAGTATATAGGAGGCTAGGGCGCGGCGTCACCACAATAGCTGTTGCGTCGCACGCAAGGCCAACGTGCCGCCGGGTCAAATTCGTCGTTTGTTCGCCTCATATTCGTGCCATGGAGTCCAGTTTTAGTTGTTGAAAATTGCCGTTTCGAGCTACCTAGCGAGATCACGTTTAATCATATCTTCGATTAATCAGCTTCCTCGAATCTAACTGATTTGTGCATGCTGAGCTTATAGACGCGCATGTGTTGAAAATGCGAACATGTATTTTTGCCCCCTCGGCAGGGCCGGCCGGGGTGGCGACCTGGGCAGACGCCCAGGGCGCCTTCAAAATAAAAAGCGCCGCCACGCCCCCTTTTGGTTGTTTTTTTTTTTTTTGCTTTTTTATTTATTTGAACATGGCGATCGACACGACGTTATAAGTTCGATTGCCGTTCGTTTTTGAAATGCGGTTTTCGTCTGACAAAACGCTCATGTTGGGCCCCTACTCACATATTTACTAACAACGCGGTGTCGTACCTATTAGATGAATCCCGGAGAAAAACTCACCGGAGAAAAGCTCACCGGAGAAAAGCTCACCGGAGAAAAGCTCACCGGAGATAAGCTCACCGCAAAACCGGCGGATGCGGAGAAAAGCTCACCGGCCATTGAGCGTATGCGGAGGAAAGCTCACCGATATTTTTTTCTTCTTTTTATATGGAGGCTGCGTGATTAGGCGTAACATATATCAGTTTATTGTCATTAAAATTCGACAACTTTGTAAATTTGTTAAACTTTTTGGGTGTACAGCTCCCAAATTAATAATTGCGGGCGAGTGTTCTCTGTGACTTACTTTCTTGGCAACTAAAGCCTAACTGAAAACTTTATAAACTTGAAGATCAGGAAAAAGTTCGAAAACTTAATAATATCTGCCTAAGACAGAAAAATCAAAATTGTAAATGCCAAAAATTTTAAAGTGGATGCGCAACAACGCTGTGCCTGAAATTCTCTTTGAAGCTTTTGTTAAGCTTCGAAAACAGGATAAAACAGTCAGTAGGCTATTGAGGCTTCTTTCTTCCACGGACATGAACATTTTCTAGCCTTTCGTGCTGATGTTTCCACACGTTGCCTTTCTGTGATAGTGCCCATCTACGGCGAGCCACCCATGACCTTCAAAGCTGCACACTGGCACCGTTGTTACTCGCGACCTATATAAGAACTCGTTTTCTGTAAGGTAGCGAATAGGGCGAGTTGGTAAGCGTTATACATGATGAAAACCGCTCAAACGACGACGACGGAGTGAAGACAACAAACACGACTGGACGAAACTGTTCTCAAAACTAAAGGTTTTGTTAGTCAAATTAACAGAAAGAGAACAGCGTAGCCGCCACTGATTACATCAACAAACACCTACTTATATATTAGGCACTACGCAATATTTGGAGCTGAAACGGTTCACACACCGCTATTCACATTAGCTCGCAAAATACGAACCTCTTTATCTGACAGAGCTACGGACGGCGCAGTGTGAGCTGTCAATAAATTGTTGTCTCTTTTACCGTTGTACGATATTCTTATTTTATACTTGCGGCTTCATTAACATACAGAATGGGAGATTACTAATTTCTGAAGAATTAGTAAATATGCACAATCAATTTCAAGAATATTACAAAAAAGTTTATTTATTTTTAATGAAGTGATGACTCCGAATTGTGGCAAATTGCCACGTTTGACGCAAAATCCGCTAAGTTTAAAAAAAAAATTGGTGAGCTTTTCTCCGCATCCGCTCAAAGGCCGGTGAGCTTTTCTCCGCATCTGCCGGTTTTGCGGTGAGATTTTCTCTGGTGAGCTTATCTCGGGTGAGCTTTTCTCGGGTGAGCTTTTCTCCGGTGAGCTTTTCTCCGCCGCCCCTAGTAAATAGGGGCGTATAAAAAGGGGGAGGAGGGAGGAGGCGGCACGGCCGGAGTTCGCCCAGTGCGCTTGATGGCGTAGGACCGGCCCTGCCCTTCAGAGCTATGTTTCATCTTCAGGCAATAACTAATTGAGCGCCTCGACGTCAGAAACGTCATGCGGTATCGTATACGGTATAATTCATGTCTATTTCCTCTTTTTTCTGCAGAACTCGACCTGTGCGCGCACAACACGACCATATGCGGCCTGGAAGCCGGCTGCCACAACGTGAACGGCACCTTCATCTGCCTTTGCAGCGACCTAGAACCCAAGCGGCCCCGCGAGCCTTGTCGGAAGACGCCAGGAGTCGGTCAGTACGCCATTCGAAATACGACGCGTCTTGGAACCTAAACTCATGCTCAAGAGTTCGCTAACTTCGTCTTCTTAAAATACTAAATCGATAAGTTTTCTTTTTTTTTTTTTTTTTTAGAAGAACTGCGCGTACAAAGGATGACAGCCGCCGTGAAAAAGACTCGAAAGAAGTGGAATGAATTCTGTTTGCAGTCCCACTGATCATACGTCGCACAAAAGACACGGTGTTTGTTGCAGACAGGATAAACAGAGTTATCTGCAGACGTAGATTCGAAGCATGTTGGCTTTATACATGTGTGTGCTTCGAACAAGTCTGCGGACAGTTATTGAATGACCAATGGGACCGTCCATACAAGGAAGAAACTGGCCTCAGACATTGTCAGCAGTCTGTCTTTTGTAGGATGTATTAGCCGTGTGACCGCTGTCACGGTCTAAGATATATACAGGTATGGGCACCGCGCGCGCAACAGCTGCCAGACAAGATCCTCTCTTTGCCTGGGTGGCAAGCGACGCCACCAGATGGCTCTTCGAAGAGCGGCTAGTGGTACCCTGTCGTGGGACCGGTTTTCCATACTTCTCTATACGAGACACGTTCGTTATCATAGTCGTTTTCAAGGTATGCCACGTCATGTAGAATTTGGAACTTGCCTTGCGTGTGTTGCTTAGACACAGCTTCGTCATTGACTCAAGATTCGTGCCTCAACGGCGAGAAGAACTGTTTTATGAGCGCCTTTAAACGGAGATATTTCTGGCGTGGTGCTAAACCAGCATCCGTCGAGATTAAAGTCACTGAATTTTGGAAAGATCGCCTTCCCTGCTTGCTAGCCGGACACAAATAGTTACTAATATACAGACGACCAAAACCCCGTAAGTCGATTGGCTAGCAATTTCTCTCCGGTGCACTTGTAATGGCAATCGCCATTTCGGCCCATTCAAATCTTTGAAGCTTCGAGAGCGTCGTACTAAACCAGTCGCTCCAAGGTCACCATGGGGCATCATCGTACTGAAGGCGTTCCTCGCCAATATAAGTGTCTTTGGCACTGAGTATGGAATTGACATACTAATCAAGCCCATATCCGAGGATCTCTAACAATGACATAGTTACCCTCGCGTATTTCAAGACGACAAAAAAAATGTTTTTCAATGCCTCCAGGTACCCACACCACAGAGGTCAGAAGAAATTGTTCATTTCGTGAACAAAAATCGCGACCGTACGGAGTGCTTGGCCAAAAGCCTAAATGCTTCCTGCGTCACCAACGAAGGCCACCGTAGGCCAGAGATATGACACGAGTACGGCGTCAGGGTTTGGCTAGGAGTCGTGTTCTCATTCATTGGATACGAGTTCCAAACGAACGGTGACGCCGGTGTCCTGTCCGATCTCTGGCCTACGGTGGCCTTATTTGGTGACATAGAGTTATTATAATGTACGCATTATAATAACTCTATGGTGTGTGACGCAGGAAAGCACTTAGGCTTTCATATCGAGGAGTGCTTGGCTCGGCGCTACTACAGTGAACTAGAAATATTGAGTACTGGAAAAAGCGGGGGCTCCGGGTGAGGCACATCGTGTTAGATCAACCAGGTGGTGCTAGCGCTCTTTTCCCGTGTAGGGTGCCTATGAAGGCACTCTATTTTCCCGAGCACCGCCTCGCCTCGTTCGCATAAGACCACGAGCCACGACGCCATGCCAAGCGTTCCCATTTTTATGCTTTTCTTTTTTTTAGCGGGCACAACAGGGCAGCAGGACACAGCACGAGCTCATCAAAATTTCGACACCAGCGCCACGCGCAGCTTTCAACACCCTTGGCTTCACACGGCCGATGGGGCACGCCCGCTGCTTTCTCCACTACTTCTAGGTCTAGTTCACTGTAACGCTACTTTCTCAGGATCCAGTTACTTTAGTGGAGATCAGGGCAGGCGCGCCGAACGGAAAGCGCACGTGCGCAGGTAGCATGAGAACGATGCACATTTTTTTTTTTCGCAGTTGCGCTGTTTGGTTAACGTTGATCTGGTCGGCGGAGACACTGTCGGCATATGCTACACGAACGCGCGCCAAGATGACTCCATCTGGTCTATCACGTCGCAGCGTTCGCCGTGCTGTATGCGCTCATTTAACGAGTATATCTTACACCGTGACCACGGCTTAAGGATTTAGGGTGAGGCTCCGCCCCAGAATTCAGAAATGGCTTCACGACGCCACTGAATATCAACGTGGCATTTTTCCCGTGCGGCGGAAATAAATAAGCATCTGTCAGACCCCCCTTTTTTGTTTTGAAGTTTGACTTTTAACAAAAAAAAAAAAAGCTTCGCCTAATGGTAAATGCTCATAGAACACTTAGAGGACCGGTTTACTTGTTGGTTTGGTGGGCGGGCCTAATCTTAAGTTCGCATTTTGCTACAGACTACCATGCAGTGGGAAGCTCACTCTAGCACGTGTGCGTAGAACGCGCAAGCACAGATGAGCGCGTTTGAATTAGCGGCGAGATGTTTTGGTGGCGCCCTCCTATGGTTCCCCCTTGTGACGTCATTACCTTGCAAACAACAAGTTCGATGGTGTTTGTAAATAGCATGGTGGAAGCTTGAAATCATTGAGCTCTTGAAGCAACACTGCCAACACCGTCAAAATTAAAGTTCTTTCATTCCTCTTATTTCCGTCGATGATAAATCCCCTTTCCTACGTCATAGTCAGCGTTCGGCCAATCGTGGAAGGCCGACCACAGCGACGCTTTCGGTCGCGCACGGGGCTAATAGCGCACACAAGGAGCTTGCCAGCCCTAGTACAATTCCTTCCATTTCCCTTCACTCTCCTGCTTTCACGGCGTGATAAAGCGTATTTTGCTGCCGCGACTCCACCAAACTTGGATGAAGTACGATATCGTTTTTTCTTCTGACTGGCGCAGCGGCTGGCGTTCCGAGTGCATTGCGAAGCAGTGCGCGTGCAGTCATTTATGCAGAATTGCATTCTGACCGAAGTAACTCGGACTTCGCGTTCGTCCATGGTACATCACGTGACCTGAAGTCAGCTGACGTCAGGTCCCCGTGGGGTCATGGTGTCCCGTGCGTGACTTACGGTGGGAGGTCCTGGCATCGCGTAACGTCACGGTGTCAACAACGTTATTGAATCTTGTAACGTTGGGAATCAAGTGGTGGTCCCACATCACGTGACAACGTCGCAGGATCGCACGGCGTCACGTCAGCCGATGCCACCTGACATTACGTCACTTGATGGTATGACCTAAATCTGTGGCGTCGCGGGATCTGAGTCACGCCACGCGGTCACGTGACCTGACGTCACGTTACACCGCGAACTGACACCTAGCGTTGTTGACATCGTGACGTCACGTAACAGCATTTTTTTATGTGGGTGTATATGGGATCATTCCAAGGTGCCTAAAGTTCATTATAAGAGACCTTTTAGAGAACTACTCGCCATATAGTAGCAGCTGAGCACGTATCGAAACGAACACCGCGTTAGCGATCGGCGTGGACATTTTTCCAACCGTTGCAGTTGTGTCGACGGGAGCCACACCCAAAACATGGTGACAGCCAAGGTTTCTTGTTGAGGTTTTGTCGAACGGTCTGCCCAAGAGAGAGATTTTTAAGTATTCTAGAGGTATTGAAGTAAACAACTTGTCGTTAAGCATGAATGGACGTCGTGGGACCACGGCTTTTATTTAAAAAAGTAATTGTGTTGTGTGTATGCTTAGACAGCCGGAAGTTAGTCAGCCCCGCCGGTCGTCTGGTGTCTCAGCTGTAGGCGAGAAATTTAGCCAGTGCAGTGGTCGTTAATGTGGATCACGTTCAAGACTCCTAGCCTGGGGTTTTTAACGTGCATCACGCAGTAGTGGTACACGGCTGCACGCCGGTAAAAAACTCATCCAGATTGAAGCGGGAAGCGGTGGAGATTGAACCCAGGATCCCTGGGTCCTTCAGCGCCAGGTATCGCTCCACGTTTTTATTTTCACTTTCTCCCAGCTTCGCCTAAAATATTTCATATTTTTTCCTCCTTTTTTTTTTCAGAGGAAAGCAATGGATTCTCTCAAAACAGCGACCCGGCTCCACCCGGCTCCTTCACTCACCATCAGATTTTGGACATGAACAGAAATTTCACCCTCACGACCAAGGTATATATATTTATTTATTTATTTATTTATCCAGTGAAGCACATAGTTAATGTGTTGTCAAATCGTAGTGTTCTTTTACGTATAATCCGTATAGCGTTACGAAAGAACGTCGCACCAACAATGATCCGCTAAATTTTGCGAACTTTTCGTTGCCCACCAAATTTAGGGACGGTGGTCATGTGACCTGATTACGTGAAGTGGCCATGTGGCCACCGTTGGCTGAATTTGACGGCCTATACTCGCCCGCCAACAGCGAATTACCTCGAACGCTGGTAGCTGTTGAAATACTATAACCGTAGTAAAAGTACTTCGTCGCGGGTGGCGCCTGGCTCCCATTGGCTGGCATAAGCGATCATGCCGTCATCACAACAACCACTTGAATTCTCGTCGGAAGTTGAGCTGTCTCGATAATAAACCATTGCACGTAAATTTACCAACCCCAAAAACGAATTTTACGTATGACGATTATGTCAGTACTATACCCTTTTGTTTTGTCTATTGAAGTTTTTCCTACTCCATTATAACGTCAGCGATCGTTCACGCACTTTTCTTGCTTTTTTCTGCCTTGGCTCTCACGTGGGGTGGCGTTGGAAAGTAGGGTCGCTTACCATCGCTCGTCGCCCGGCGCCCCTGAAGCCTGGACTCTATGGAGCGAAAATGCGGCGAACAGCCGACCAACAATTGTCCCAGTGGCACGTCCACTTTGCCCGTGATGTCAACAGCCACCGTTCTGATGTCGTGGGCAGAGCGAATGCCGAGCGAAATTCGTCGGATGTTGGCCGCATATTCGCTCCCTGGAGTCCGTCCTCTATAGTCGGCACGAGTGAAAGAACGCCGATGCGAGTAGAGCCACGTTATTAATGCGAAAGCATTAACTCTCTCATGGAGCGAGCTGACGTCATCAGTCTGAAGCGCGAAAACGGCAGATAGTTTCCTTCGGTTCCATTGGCTGGCGCGCGTCGACGGGGCTCCCATTGGCCGCTGCGCTCGTCAGTTTCCACGACCGCTCACTCCATGGCGCTAAGTGTCCATCAGCGCGGAGCGTCCAAGGTCACCAGGGGAGCACCCACGCCGACCGGCGACGAAAAGTACGCAGCAGACGAAAAAGGGAGCGGACGAGCGGCTTGCATGCTTTCGCATTCACAACTCATAAGGAATGCTTAGGTGTACATACCTCGATCTTTTTTTACTCTATCCAGCGGCAACCTCGTTTCGCACGTAAATATCAAGATTTAAACACAAAAATACTTGCGCACCTTTCTGCTCTCGTGCACGCATGGTCCAGTCAATGCGAATTACGGAGAGCATTCAGTGAATTACCTAACCTAACTTAAGCTAACCTAACCTAACCTAGCCTAACCTCAGTGTCCGTCTGCTGTCTGCGCAGAGAGCGAGCACGACGTTTCGCTGGATCATTGCTTCTGTGTACCATCGCCTTCTTCAGACAAACCGTTTTGTAGGTGTCGTCGTTCGCCGAACACGTTTCATAATTATAATGCAATTAAATGCGAAGGTGCAAGCGAGCTGGACAAGAATGACGAGAATAATCCCTGGAGAAGGGGAACAAGGGGGACAAAGGACAAACATTGGAGATTTATGTTTGTCCTTTGTCCCCCTTGTTCCCCTTCTCCAGGGATTATTGTCGACGTTTCATAAATCGCACTGACTGACCCACCACATGCTCTGCGCGATTGTTTCTATTTCCTTACGGTAGTGCGGTCAACACGGCGTATGGACGCCGGATTTTGATAAAGCCAGATAGAGCCAGACTCTAGACTCTTTAGAAAGCTTTGCAGGCATGACGGTTGACGTGCGTGCTTTCGATGCGTCTCTATGCTACCGTGTGTCTCCCGAAAGCAGGAATTGCCAGGTTCCTCGCTTTAAATATTCAACTCCTTATTGAAATGCAACTAAACATTTTAAAATTTAAAACGTAGCTTTTTTTTTATTTTATTTGTTTCATTTTAAACTCCAGTTAAGATCTTTACAGGGTGACGGTTAACATAAAACGTGCTCCTGATGCATTTCCTTTTTAGTTCGTTTAATACATCAACAAAAACCATACCTCTCACGAACGCAAATATCGCCAATTTCCTCTCTACGAACTCCTTAATGGAATACTGATAATAATTAAAAATAACTTTTTTGAGGTTTTTGCATTCTAAACCAGGGTGTCGAACCGGTCATTATTTCGGTTCGGTTCGGTTTCGGGTTCAGAAGCATTGTATTTTGTTCCGGATCGGTTCCGGTTTAGGGTAGCGCACATAATACTTATCACTCCGGTTACTGGTTTTAGTAAGTGCGAATCGGTTCAAACCGGTTCCTAACTCCACCTTCGAATATTGACCGAGCACTTCCAGCAGTCTTTTCTGAGCACGAGATACTTGCAATAGACCAATCCCAAAACTACTCCCTCTTCAAGCAGATCTGAAAACCCAGCACAGTAACGTGCGCAAAAGACATAATTAATGTGGCAAGGCTATTACTTGCAATATACTGTTCTTAAGTTAACTATATATTAGCTATCGGCTTTCCTTTTTTATGGTGTCTTTTGCACACGCAGCTGTACAGTACTTCAAACTGTGCCAGAAGAGGGCGTAATTTCGGGGTGGGTCTATCGATTTTTCAAAAAAGAGCTTGGGGTCGGTGCTATCTTTAGTGTTCGTGCGCATAACATGTGCTTTGCTCGCTTTCTGAAGCGACGAACACGCACACGCTGGGCTGTGAAGATCACACTTTGGACGAGCGGCTCACCGGCCAGCTGGGCCACTCTCAACTAGCGCCCCAAAGCGTTCGCTTAGGTTAGCCAAAGGCTCGCATACTGACAAACGTGTTGTCGACCTTGCCTTACCGGGAAGCCACCCACCGTGTTCTACATAAATAGTCCTACTCACTAGCTTCCCAACGAACAGAAACACGTGCAGAAGGTGTTAGTCTACAAAAAATATCAAAACATTAAAACGCACCAAAGATGGCAACGACCCTGAGGTGCCCCGTCTCAACTGGGCACGCTTCTCCAGACCCTCTCCAGAGGGTGTCGGTGGCTTTTTCGCATGCCAAACAGACAACTCTCGATAGTCAACAGGTTGGCTTGCGAAAATATAATTTAAAAACATTCTCAGAAGGTCACCCGTCCGTAAGGTGCCTGTCACAAAACGGTTTGAAAGACACGGCAAGTTGGGCAGCAATCGCCGGGAGTCTGCTGCTTGCGAATGGCCGAAGTAATTTGGCTCGAAGGTTACGAGGCCGCTCGTGCGGAGACGACATGAACCATGTTAAAAAAAAAAAAAAAAAACATTCTCGTCGTGTCTAAACGAATTTTAGAAGTTATACAGGCCAAGCGTCTTTGTTTTTGGTGCGGGATAAAACATTTCGCTCGTATAATGAAATGTGACTACATCTTGACAGCGCTTCGGTATCCGATGGAAAAACGCTGTTTTAAACATCTCGCGGCAATGCCTTGTCTTCTCACTTTGACTTTTTATCGCAACCAACGCTGTATGCAAATGACCCGGTCTGAGGGACTCAGAACCAGTTACATAGCATGAATTATTAACGTTAAGTGCGTAATAATATTATATAACAGCACTCACATTTGAAAGTGCCAGTTACTGAACAAAATTCCGGTAATGCCACCACAGCGAATGACGTTTCTCGAATGGTCAGTTGAAGACAATGAAAGAGGACTTCAAGGAAAAATGAGAAAGTGGTTGAACAGGCGGCATGCTGGCCCTTGCTAGTCTGACAAACCTACAAAAAAAAATGTACAAAGAAACATTTTCTTCTTCCCCCCCCCCCCCCCCCCCCCTTCCCCTCCTCCCCTCGGCCTCCTTCGAAAGTGCGGCGCGTCGGCGAATCATGGCCGAGTAACGTTGCATCCAACGACATATGTTGTTTTTTTTTTTTTTTTTTTTTTTTTTGTTTTTGTTAGGTAACACACCGCACACGTGGAAGAAAAGATTGTTTTTTTATTGAAATGGACCGCAGCTAGGCGGCCCTACAAACTATACTGCCGATGCAGCGCGGTACTTGTCCCGCCTTCCTTCAGCGTGTCGCTGCACTCAAGCAGAAGGTCACGAGGTGCGCTGTCGGTGCTCGATTGGCTAAATGGCTCATCGACTGCAACTGCGGTTCATTTTGAGGTCAAACATTCGCGGACGCGTAGGCTTTCGTGCCCCATAGAGTGGCGCAATCCACTCCGACACCAGGACATTTCGTAGCCAAGCGGCCAAGCCCAAGCGGTGCTTTGAAATCACCGCGCCCCTACCGCGCAGCCAGGGTCAATCTAAGAAACAAAGTAAAGTTGAAGCTCTCCATATGCCTAAGTAGAGGTGGAAACTAAGCGAGCTCACCGACCACGCGGTCTTTTTGTGTCTCTGTTTTTGATGATGAGGTATTTTTTATTACGCATGCAATAAATACGAAAGGTAAAAATATCTGACAGTATGTAGGATCAGTCTTGGCAATGGTATAAGAAAGAAATACGCCCGCAACCAAATATTGACAGAATTGGCCCTGAACCGCTTTCATTGAACCGGTAACCGCCAGATCAGATTATGGCTCCGTTCCGGTTCGGGTTCAATATGAAGCGTTGGATTTCGGTTTCGGTTTTTCACCTGTTCGGTCAATAACGGTTTTGATCCGGTTTTCGCTTTGGGTTCGGGTTCGGTTCGACGCCCTGTTCTAAACACCCGATGTCTTAGAGATCCCAATATTCCGCCTCGTATGAATTAAAAACAACCTTACGAAACCAACGTTTCTTCAAAAACCCTCCTTGAATTACGGAGAGTTGGGAATGCAACGTTTGGATAATTTTGAAAGCCCATTCGTTACTCGTAATGAACTTAAAAAACCCTGTAAAAGCGCTGGACTCAAAAAAAAAAATCTGTTTTTGCAAGGTTCTTTGACGCCTCAAGAACTCTTTCAGCTCGTAAAGAACGGTTTAGCGTCAAGCGCTATCGCCCCCAGGGGCACTAGAAAGGTACCATAGGGCCGGGCGC